GATGCGGAGCCCAGCATCGCAGATGCTGGTAACCGCAGGTTGTTTGAAAAGACAAACACTATTCGTTAGAATTGTGTTTTTCTATTGAAAAACAACCGGAGCGGTCGTTCTCCGGGCTATGTTTTGCAAGTCTGGCCGCGAATTGGGGCAACTTGAGCGGGGCCTAGACGAAATGTACAATCTTCGTAAAAATAACCGCAGGTTGTTTGAAAAGACAAACACTATTCGTTAGAATTGTGTTTTTCTATTGAAAAACAACCGGAGCGGTCGTTCTCCGGGCTATGTTTTGCAAGTCTGGCCGCGAATTGGGGCAACTTGAGCGGGGCCTAGACGAAATGTACAATCTTCGTAAAAAGTTCAGTGTATGGGCTCCCGTAGGCGATCTACCTGATGGCACCGGTCGCTACTCGCTAAGAAGTTTTTTGCGCGTGGCACGTGCGATTCCATTTTCGCCCATGTTAAGTCAATGGGGTTTTGGACACTTTTTGCGCGATCGCTAATAGCGGGAAAACGAGCCAAGAAGGAGGTGGTTTTCTTCCCAGCATTTTATGGCAAACACGTTCAGGTACACGCTCGTGTGCGCCGTATACCCGCCAGAATCTCGTGGCACGTGGCACGTGCGAATTCTTTTCCCCATGTTAAGTCAACGGGGTTTTGGACACTTTTTGCGCGATCGCCAATGGCGGGAAAACGAGCCAAGGAAGAGGTGGGTTTCTTCCCAGCATTTTATGGCAAACACGTTCCGGTACACGCCCGTGTGCGCCGTATACCCGCCAGAATCTCGCAACACCTCTATGCACAAGGTCAAAGTTGGAATTTTGCTGTGTCCCATGTTAAGTCAATGGACGGCGATGCCGAGACTTTGCAGAAACATTTTCATTCGTTCATTGTACAAAATTTTAGAGATAGAATTTGCCCAAACTCTTATAGCTTGTACAGGAAAGAGCGTAGTACATGCTGGTATGCTTCGTTAAGCTGGCAGAAATCGTTTTTTTTCTAATAAAGTTCGTTGGAAAATGAAAATTTTTAACATGGAAAGTCAATGGGAGCGTTTTTATTCCTCTATAACTTTTATCTTTAGTAAGACATATAGGTGAAAAGTTAATATAATATACAACTTCTGATGCTCTTTCCACTGGTGCATAGAACGTCACTGCACGATGTGCCGTTTTTAAGAAAAGCTGTAAAAAATCAGGGCTCGACTGTGACTTGAACCCAACCACATTAGAGTATACGAACAGGTGAAGGGGACACCTCCCATGTGCGGACGCGACGCTGAATATTGCTAATTATTAGCAGTCGGCCGCACTGGGGGCGCCTTTGCAAAGCTTATATCTCCACAACCACTTGACCGATTCACTTGCGGTCTTTTGTGTGGGATAGCTTCTTCCTTTCTCACACGTAGTGTGCTACCCTCGATACGTATGGGTGACCCCTAATGCACGTGCCACGTGCAAAACGAAGAGGTGTCAGTTCGGTAACAAGTCTAATAACTCTGTAGTTAGTTTGCCGATTGCACTGATATTTGGCATGGATGTAGGCACCCGCCGTGCAATGCATTTCCATGTGTCACGGTTGGGGTGCCGCTGCACGTGCGCACGGGCAGGGTGACGCTTCCAGATCTCGAGAACGGCTGGGCCAATTGTGATCAAACTTGGCACACCGTTAGGGATCGGCGAGTAGGGTGCCGTGCACAAGTCAGATGGGACCCAGTTTGCACGTGCGCACGTGCAGGCTGACGCTTCCATATCTCAAGAACGGCTGGACCGACTGTGCTCAAATTTGGCATACCACTAGAGACTGGTTAGTAGGGTGCCGTGCACAAGTCAGTAAGTATGGATTTTCATGTGCCACGGTTGGGGTACAACTGCACGTGCGCACGTGTAGGGGTCGTTTCCAGATCTTGGAAACGGCTGGGCCGAATGCGATTAAATTTGGTACACCGCTAGAGACCGGCGAATAGAGTGCCGTGCACAAGTCAGTTGGGACCCAGCCTGCACGTGCGCACGTGCAGGGTGCCGCTTCAAGATCTCGAAAACGGCCGGGCCGATTGCACCCAAATTTTTCACACCGCTCTAGACGGGCGAATAGGGTGCCGTGCACGTCAGTTTTTAGCACACCCACTCCGGTCTGCACGTGCAAGGCTCATATCCTCTCGTTTGGCGGGTGGCGTTTTTGCGGCGTTACAGAGGTGCTTGCTCAAACAACCTGCGGTCCCGCGATGCGGAGCCCAGCATCGCAGATGCTGGTAACCGCAGGTTGTTTGAAAAGACAAACACTATTCGTTAGAATTGTGTTTTTCTATTGAAAAACAACCGGAGCGGTCGTTCTCCGGGCTATGTTTTGCAAGTCTGGCCGCGAATCGAGACATCTTGAGTCTGGCCTAAACGAATCGCTCAATCTTGGTAAAAATTTCAGGGTATGGGCTCTCGGAGGCGATCTACCTGATGGCACCGGTCGCTACTCGCTAAGAAGTCTTTTGCGCGTGGCACGTGCGATTCCATTTTCCCCATGTTAAGTGAACGGGGTTTCGGACACTTTTTGCGCGATCGCCAATAGCGGGAAAACGAGCCAAGAAGGAGGTGGTTTTCTTCCCAGCATTTTATGGCAAACACGTTCCGGTACACGCCCGTGTGCGCCGTATACCCGCCAGAATCTCGTGGCACGTGGCACGTGCGATTCCATTTTCCCCATGTTAAGTCAACGGGGTTTTGGACATTTTTTGCGCGATCGCGAATGGCGGGAAAACGAGCCAAGGAAGAGGTGGTTTTCTTCCCAGCATTTTATGGCAAACACGTTTGGGTACACGCCAGTGTGCGCTGTATACCCCTCAGAATCTCGGAACGTGTCTTTGCACTAGATCAAAGTTGGAATTTTGCTGTGTCCCATGTTAAGTCAATGGACGGCGATGCCGAGACTTTGCAGAGACATTTTCATTCGTTCATTGTACAAAATTTTAGAGATAGAATTTGCCCAAACTCTTATAGCTTGTACAGGAAAGAGCGTAGTACATGCTGGTATGCTTCCTTAAGCTGGCAGAAATCGTTTTTTCTAATAAAGTTTGTTGGAAAATGAAAATTTTTAACATGGAAAGTCAATGGGAGCGTCTTTATTCCTCTATAACTTTTATCTTTAGTAAGACATATAGGTGAAAAGCTAATATAATATACAACTTCTGATGCTCTTTCCACTGGTGCATAGAACGTCACTGCACGATGTGCCGTTTTTAAGAAAAGCTGTAAAAAATCAGGGCTCGACTGTGACTTGAACCCAACCACATTAGAGTATACGAACAGGTGAAGGTATTAGAGCGTGGAAAGCTGCGTCGAAATGCCCCTCCCACCTCCGTCTCGCTGTGTAATGATAGGAACACACCGTCACGGCACTGCTTACCAATTCCGATAGTCACTCAGACTGTCACCATGTATTTTATTGTTTATCTGTTTGTTTGCTTGCTTGTTTTTGTGTTTGTTTACCTTTGGCGAATTATGCCCTTTCGGACAATAAACACTAAGCACCGACTATGCAGAGTGGTGTACTGAAGTACAGGAGCTCCTCTTACATAAGGCGACATGCAGTAAGCCGTAAGGGGCGCTATCAGCTGTGTTCATGTTTAACCCACAAGCCGCTGGGGGGGGGGGGCATAAAGTTGCCCCCCTTTACGTTTTGTGGAATATCTCCGAAACCTGATGAGCTACGAACGTGAAACTTGGCATAGCTTCAAGTGAATACCTACGCAATATTTGTGGGAAGTTGGTACACTTCCATCTAGTTCCTGACCAATAATCGGCCCTTTATATTCGGTCCCATGTATCTGATATATCATGAAGAAACTGCGAGTCGCAAATCTATAATTTGACTTATGACGTCACTGTGACGTCATTTCAAATGATATCGACACCAAATTTAGACACAACCTTCGCTATGTATTCAGGAAAGTGTGTGCAAAGTTTGATTATATATGTTGTTGTTGAGCTGGGACGGATTCATTTGGTAAAATATTGTTCAAACACCAGCTTTAAGTTTTTATTGGGAGCTTTCGGAAGCGTTACAGCTTCCTTCGTCAGCCTTGGAAAGAATTCTTTAAGTACAAAACAATTCAAAATTCAAAAAACGCCACTTAAACTTAAAGTGGCGCAGATATTCGAGAAAAGCTCGTTTCGTAAATCGTAGCGTTCCACTTCGTTGACGAACTCGCGTACATGAATAAGCACAATAAAACAAAATACACCGAATGAACAAATGAACTATCATTTAGTCGCCTAGGGGAGATGTGAAAGTCTTAGCTTACGAGTCTGACTGGAGGAAACGAAAAATCAAGGAGGGCATTTTTATCGACAAGGCGAGAGGAGATGTGCTGAATGTGAAACCTGGTGTCATGGTGGCAGATGTGTATCGAGTGCTCGGCTAGGCGACTAAATGATAGTTCATTTGTTCATTCGGTGTATTTTGTTTTATTGTGCTTATTCATGTACGCGAATTCGTCAACGAAGTGGAACGCTACGATTTACGAAACGAGCTTTTCTCGAATATCTGCGCCACTTTAAGTTTAAGTGGCGTTTTTTTGAATTTTGAATTGTTTTGTACTTACGTGTTTATCTGTCTTTTTAAGAATTCTATCCAAGGCTGACGAAGGAAGCTGTAACGCTTCCGAAAGCTCCCAATAAAAACTTAAAGCTGGTGTTTGAACAATATTTTACCAAGTGTGCAAAGTTTCGCTTCTCTATCTCTTCGCGTTGCGACGATATCGTCGCAGAAGTAAAGGGGGGCAACTATGTATATGCCCCCCCCCCAGCGGCCGGCGGGTGGCGCGGAGGCCCAGCGGCCGCCGGGTTAAAAAGGTTTTCATCTTTTGGAATTGTATTCGACATTTTATGGTTAGTGTGTTAAAAAGGAAACAACCACATTTCGTAGTTCCTATCGTACGAAATGTCATTCTATGCATACTTATAGGCATTTCATTTTTATTTTCTTACTGCAAACAACGATGCACATTGATGGTACTTGGTGAGCGAAAACACCGAAAGTGTAGCGAACAGTACCGCCCGCTCAATGAGGATTAGGTTAGCAAGATTTGGTGTGCAGCTTGCAAGCCTGCGCAACGCTTTTCAAACGGGCTTCAAACACCGATTAGGTCCATTGCATTAGGTCCATTGCTCCCTTATCACACTGTTGATTCCTCAGCGACTGTCTCGAATAGAAGCTGACCTGATCTGACCGACCTGATTTTGACGTGTCAGGTCAGTTCAGGTCAGGTCCGGGCTCGATCCATTGTTGGTATTTTTTCAGCCGATTCTCGGCGGTCGGCTGACCTTTTCCTGTTCGTCGGCCTCCTGTAGCTCCCTCTGGCCGGCCTCGGAGGAGGCCTCGCAGATGGCGCTGCCGGCGCTCTGCACCAGCAGCAGGTCCTGCAGGGGGCGCCACAGCGGTCAGACACCCACCATTAGCAGGTCATGGGGGCACCACAGTCAGAACTCTGACACTAAACCGGCGCTCTTGGGTTCTGAGTGAACCACAATCGTCAGTTAAACACTAAACCGGCTCTCTGGGTCCTGGAGGCGCCACGCAGTCATCACAGGTCCGCTACGTCAGATCGAGACGCAGAAACCAATTAGCTCTCCTACCGCTGCTCCCAATCACCCTCCCATTCCCACTCCTAGCGTCCTCACACCGCTGTGACGTCACCTGGAGCTGACTGAGCGCGAAGTTCTCGCTGAGTGTGAGCGAGGACGCAATCTTGTGCAGGTGGAAGACGAGCGTCTCCCATGTGAGGCCGCCGAGCGCCTTCTCCTCGTCCATGCTGGTCTTCCAGTCATCCTCCTCGCGCACGTGCTGCTTGAGCGCCGCCTCAGCCACCGGGTCTAGCGGGGTGTCGCCCAGCCGGGCCTCCAGCTGATGACGTCACAGGGGGTACGGTGGTCACTGGTCAGTCACTGGGTCCAGCGGGGTGTCGCCCAGCCGGGCCTCCAGCTGATGACGTCACAGCGGGTACGGTGGTCACTGCTCAGTCACCGGGTCCAGCGGGGTGTCGCCCAGCCGGGCCTCCAGCTAATGACGTCACAGGGGGTACGGAGGTCAGCCACCGGGTCCAGCGGGGTGTCGCCCAGCCGGGCCTCCAGCTGATGACGTCACAGGGGGTACGGAGGTCAGTCATCGGGTCCAGCGGGGTGTCGCCCAGCCGGGCCTCCAGCTGATGACGTCACAGGGGGTACGGTGGTCAGTGGTCAGCCACTGGGTGCAGCGGGGTGTCGTCCAGCCGGGCCTCCAGCTGATGACGTCACAGTGGGTACGGAGGTCAGCCCGACTGCCGGCTCTGGTAGACACGATTGTGCTTGTGACACGGTTTCCGAATTAATTATAGATGCATGCCTGGCCCTGATGACAAAGCTTTTCAGCTTAAATGGGATGTCATCCCTTGACCTGATGCCTATACCAGACGGCCATGCACATCCTTCCCGATGCGCAACCTTCCCTTTCTGCAACGCTCGGGACGCCACCTACACCTGATGTCTATAAAGACCGTCAGAGCCTTCTCCCAATATGCTATCCCCTACTGCATCGCTCGTGGCGCCACCTACACTCATACACACCTCCTCGAAGGTGGGCTTGTTGAGCGTGCGGCCAGTGTGCACGAGCAGCTCCCAGACTGCCAGCAGACAGCTGTCGGCCACCACAGTGGGCACAATCTCCTCCTCAATGTAGGCCGCCTTCACCTGGTCCTGCTTCAGCTGCCGGTGGTAGGAGAGTGAACGCTGAGCGACAGTGGAGGGATTGGACTGGAGTACAATCTTCGGAATGTTTGAGGCGAGGTGTTAGTATAGATGCTAGACTGTCAGTCCCGAAACGTTGTTGAATAATTATATCTCAACTCAAGACGGAGACGGAACTCTGAATAACATCCATATTCCATAGTATACCGGGGTAGTTCGATAATGAATATGGAAACTCTTGTCCGAATAAAAGACTGTGTTTATCAGTTATCACGTAAAAACAAAAGTGATCTAATGCCCAAGATATCAGCATTATTGGAAAGTCGATGCTGACGCAGGTCGACCCTAACCATCCTCCTTACCTTGTACTTGCCCTCCTGCATAGCGACGGAGGCGACTGTGGCCAGCTCGTCGACGATGACATCGGCCAGAAACTCGTCGAGCACCTCCAGCTGGAACGATTTGTTCTGCAGCCAGTGGTCCATCCGCTTCCGGGCGCGGATCTCCTGCAATGGGGCGAACCCAGACAGTACAGAGCATGAGTACCTACTACACATCGCGGGGCATTGGTGCTTCAGCTTCACCCCACAAACGCGTTCGGAAAAAAAATGCAAGTCACATAAAGTACTATACTGCATAATATACTGCACTCTGCAAACACTTAACAAGTTTGTCAGAAAACGTTAGTTCATACATCAAGTTAGGTACCTCCAAGCTTTCCCAGGGTTTTTCGGCGGGCCGAGGCAGGGTAGCAGTCGCCGTAATGAAGTATGGCATTGGGTGCTCTTCATCGTCGTCAAGCTTTGGAAGGTACTCAGTTTGGCCCGTCCTGAAAGTAAGTCAAAACAATTAGCAGCTGTATAGTTTTGTTTTAATTGTTCACAAAAACCATGCTTATTTGACCCACAGGGTCTACCTACATGTATACCTACCCCGTAGGTAGAGCCTACAACTCCGTGCATAAATGTAATTATTCGACTGTCATAACTTTCAAACTTATAATGGAGGTCAAGTCTGGATGTAACGTCTAATGAAAAAAATTAAGCAATCACTATTTGATATTCCATAAGCTCAATGCCAAGACGCGAGATAGCTTGTACTTCTACCGACAGGTGGCACTAGCGTCAGACGCCGGAAGTTATGCTGTGCCGCAGTGCCTCCGGCAGCGATAAACAGTTATAGGGCCTTAGCTATGAAATTAAAAGCATGCATTGCAAATTGCAATATGCATTTAGGTATGTGCACGGAGATCATGAAGGTAATTGAGGAATGAGGATCATGGTGGATTCAATAAGATGTGAGCAGAAAATGCAATAATGAAAAAATAAAAGAATACCTATCAACGCACTGCAGGGTAACATGACTGGAATAACCTACACTGCGGCCAGTTAGATTAGTGAATGTATGAAGCTTCACGCATGCTGCGTACCCGGAATAAAGCGTGGACTGAGAGATTGCCCTCTTCGCATTTTCCTCCTCTCTTAGTTTCTCCTTATCCAGAGGCTCAAGTTTTGCAGAGTTTGGATTTCTCTTCAGCACCATTTTGTCATACGTTGGTTGGCTCTTTTGAGATCCTTAGGCTGAATTGGCCCAAAACGCACACTTCCCTGGAATTGTTTGCGTCTGCCCTTCGGAAGTGACCTTCAAGCTTCAGATATTGATACCTTCCAGGAGAATGCTCTGCCGAGAGCGCGTCGATGGTCGATGCTATCAGCAGCTGGCTGACCTGTCTGCTGGTCGCCCCAGCTCTCTGTCAGTGCCGCCGTGGCGTCACCCCGTCCCTCGGGGTCACCTTGGCGGCCTGTGCGGCGCCGTCCAGTCGCCGGCTGACGTTCGCGCGCCCCACCGTCCGCGGCTCGGCCGCACGCAGAGGGTACCTGGCGCCGGCCCGGCGCCGGCTCCGACACGACGCGACCGACAGGTGAGGCGGCGACTGGCTACTATCCGGCGCCCGCGCGTCGCGGTCGATGGCGGACCTTCGCTCCACACGGCGTTGCTCGGGAACGACGTCGTCGCTAGCGACGCTGGCCTACCTGTCGGCGTGTTTTGCCGCAGTTCCCGGCCGGGCCGGCGCCACCGCTGGCGCCAGGCCCGCGGGTATGAATGACCGCTGTGACCTTTCGTCTACCGTTCACGACGGGGCTGCTTTGTGACTGTCGATAATGCAAGTTTGATGGCATGCACGCAACCGAAGGTCGGGTAGCTTCGTGCGTAGTAGCGGTGACGCACGGGGCTGCACACCGTTAGATAAGATTTTGCTGACTGCGAACTGGAAGACTGAAAGTTTTTTCGTAAAATGGGCAGCTGTTTGCCGATGAACGAGAGCAAGAAAACTAGATATGTTTCATTTTTACTTAATATTTTCCTATTCGCACAAAGAATTGGTTTGACACTTTACCAGCAACAAAACATTCGTTTTATTTTAAGCATAGCTGCAAAACGTTTACTTTCATAAACAATCTGGATTGCAAACCACAATCAAAAGTTCATTATTAGGCCACGGAGCTAATCATGCTTTGTCAACCGTGAGAGCAAGGCAAATGTCCTGTCAAGAATGTCATGTGTCCTCGGCGATTGAGCGGCGTCCAGCGCATCAATTGATATCGCGAATACCGACGGAAACTTCCGGCGGCCTTGTACGCGTATTTTCAGCGACGTCTTTTTGATGTGCACCGATATCGATTTTAAAAGACGGTGCACCGTAATGCTCGTTATTCAGCGGGGCCTGCTAGTCAGGCGAAGGTTGTGTTGTGCAGCGCGCACAGCAGGCGTGGTTCTGGAGTAAGTTCAGTTCAATCAAATGAGCTGGGAAGTTAATTAACCCTCGCCCCGTTTGGGGGCCATTTTGGCCCCCCTGTGGTTTTTCCTGAATAGCAAGAAAACGGCGGCGCGCAGCGCAGCCAAATTTTCAGTACCTTCCCGGGCATCAATTTGACACCTTCACACTAAATTTCAAGTCTTAGGTCACCTTAGGTCAGGAGTTATTGAGGTCAAACTGAGGTCATGTTTGAGCAAAAATGAGCAAAAAACATGCAATCTTGAAACGCTCACCAAATCTACAGTTATCAAGCAATTTCAAAGTTCTTTATATGGTCTAGTAGACAAAACGCGGCACTACAAAACTGCTATCTCGGATTTTCAAAATTTTGGGTTTTTGACCCCAAAAAATTCAAAAAATTGATTTTTTTAGAAAAACTTTAAAAAATCAAAAAAAAATTCCGAATTTCGAAAAACCGGAATATATGTGATAGTCCCTGCGCTCTTCTATATACATACCGAATTTCAGATCGATATACCGTTTTTTTGGCCAAGTTATAGCGAAAAAACTGTTCAAAAATGATGACGTCAAATTTTTGAACTCAAGTTTTAGCGATTCTAGACCACGTACGGGAAAACAAAGACCACCATTGAACTCCCCGTGACGAGCTGCATCGATTCGATAGGGGAGAGCGGGGCCAGTTGAACCACTTTTTATATATTGACATGCACAGCGAGACCTAGTTGTCATATCGAAAAATGCACAATGCCATGAAAAAATATGCTCTTTTGGCTTTATTTTAAGATATGTAAAATTATGTTTCAAACGTATTTTGCTGCCAAACGCATGCTTATAAAACAGCTCTACGCCCGTTTCAAATGACCCCGATGCGAGGGGCAATTTAACCAGCCCATGGGGTCAATTGCACCTATCCAATGGGATGTTTTCCCCTTTAAGGCCACTTTCTTAATGAGATATTTTGTGCGGTTTATTTTTCCAAATGCTACATTCAATAGGTCGTTGGAAAGCTAAAAGTGCAAAGTTCCTCATAATAGGTGAAATAAAGTACATAGACTATGGTAAAATGGGCGGATGAGAAAAATGAGAAATATATCAGGCTATAGTGTGCTTTCAAGCAAAAGGCTGGAGAAAAGGGGGTAAAAAATTGAGCTCTATTAAACTACCATTTCAGTTTAAAAGCTCATTTAAAAGGTGGACTATTTCCTTTAATGTTTACAGCCCCTGAACAATAACCATTGCAAAGGTCACCGGGGTCCATTGAAACGGCCTGTGGCCCTGTTTCAACAGACCCTCAGAGAAGCGTTTCAATTGACCCCATCCGCTCCCGCCATCTCGCACGCGCCGTAAAGCACATGTCAAACGAGCTGGAGGGACGGCATCATGCTGAATGAAGGGCCAAATAAGGTGTTATTCCGGAGCCAGGAGTTCTTCTTTCAGCAAACAAAGGTATATGAGATATCACAAAATATTCATAAGAACGATTTCTCCCAAACGCCCCTCAAAAACACAAAAACAAGTGTCAAATCAAAATTACCGTCCGTTTGCCGCCCAAACGCCGTTGACAAAGGAAGTGGTCGAGCGCGGATGCGCAGTGGTGTCGGCAACGCCATATGTTGCATACTGTTGAAAATAAAGCCGTGTTTCATCTGACCCCGTGTTTCAACTGGCCCCGCTCTCCCCTACCCATTTTATGCAAAAATATTAACTTTGAAATTTGACCTAATTTGACCTGACCTTGACCTGACCTTGACCAAAACGTGACCTAAGCTGGCCCCAAAGGCTGCCTGACCCACATAATCGCATTCGTCATGTAAAATGGACCATAAAACATGTATCACACGACACTTTCATATTGTGACCCCCCCCCCCCTCGTGACCTGACCTCTGTGACTTGACCTGGTATCAGTGACCTCAAATAGCAAAATATGTGTTTGAAGAACATTTCCCCATCGATCATTTTCAATGAAATGCATTTTACTCGATTTTACAACGCATTTCTTGAAATGCTTGTAAACGGTGAAAATTGGACCTTTGACCTGACCTGTGACGTTATCGGTTTGACCTAGGTCAATAAAATTGGGTCACAAGGTAGTTCCCTGATAGGGCTATCCAACACCGCTTGCCGCTTGTCGCTAGGTTGCGTGGTTCTCGAGATCTTAGGGGGGGGGGGCAAAATGCCCCCCCCCCCCCAACGGGGCGCGATGCTCGGCAGAGCCCAACGGGGCGCGGTTTAAATAAAGTCACAAATCGATATGTGGGATATAAATACTTATACTAAACGTTTCGAATCGACGGTGAATGTTTCATCACGCGCTTAAGAAAATTAAGATGACTAATCTGAGGTCAAGTTGATGGTTGGGACTTTTGAGGGCGAAATGAGTTTTGAGCGGCCCGACACCATTGACGGAATCCCGACATGATTCTGAGCGACCTTAGCGCAGCGAGGGATGCTTAAGATTATGACTATGAGGCTAAAGGGTATATCAACCCTCAGTTTTCGCAGCGGGCAACCAAGCATAAACATGTGCTCTAATCAACTCATCTTCGCAGAGACATATTTTATTTTCGGCCGCATGAAGCAATAAGCATAACGAAGCCAGGCATTATAGAACCGACCTTCTACAGCTACCAAACGCATACGGGCCCACCTGAAACGGCCTGCATAAGAGACAATAATAGGCAGAATCATTGCATAAGCGTCCGCCTATGCCTACGATCTAATCCAAAATCAACTCTCTGTATAAATGCAAAGGAAGGTTAAATGCTATCATAACCAATCATACCTACATACTTCGATTGCCTATCATTTGGAAAACAGACGGTACCTATGTTACTTGTAAAATGCAGCATATGATACCCCGCTGACGTCTCCAACATGCCATTCAAACATTTCAGACGCTTGGGCACTCACTTTTTTTATAAATAACGGAGGATTTGGAGCCCAGTGGCGGATCCAGGGGGGGGGGGGGCAAAATGGGCATTTGCCCCTCCCAAACGGCATTATTTTAATATTACGCCTATGGACGAGGCTTGGTAAGAATCGATAAATTGTTATGGTTTGCCCCCCCCCCCCAAAAAAAAACTCTGAGTTGGATCCACCACTGTTAGAGCCTATACCCTTGGCTTTAAATAAACAGCCCTAGTCCCCACCCCATAACTGTGGCCTTTACATACTTTATAGGTACTGTGATATGAAGCTGTTCCGTGTCGATTCATACACCGTTCAAGCTGTTTTCTTACATCGAGATATAATCCAAATGACAACATTTAATTGCAATGCTATCTGAGTTATCATCACAAGGTGTTGATTGAAAGCGATCACAGGCGACGGCCACGGGCGCCATGGCCGTAGGAACCTCACGAAAAGTGTGTGTGTGTGTGGGGGGGGGGGGGGGTGGAGGCAGTGAAACTTCAATGTCACTTTGTGGGAGCCCCAATGCCCCTTTAATTTTTTTGCAGTTTTGTACTCATCTCACCCTGCTGAACCATTTCCTACTCTTAGTTTTGCATTTAAATAAAAAATAAGGATTTACTTCAAAATGGCTGAAAAGTGTGTATGTGTGTGTGTGGGGGGGGGGGGGGGCATGGCCCTCGCCCCCTGCTCCTACGCCTATGACGGGCTCGTCATAGCTAATCACATTTTATTCAAATTTCAACATCTGAGAGCTTATTCGGAATTCGGATGTTGGTTGTCGATTTATTGCACCTAAGGAGAGGTGACTGACAGAAATGGACATTGAACATAGAGTAATGAAGAACGCAAGGCCAAGGCCCTATATACCACGAAAATAAGGAAGGAAGGAAGAACGCACGAAAATAGGGATGACGTCCGGACCTGACCTGGAAGAATAAGCTCTCAGCACGTGCTGTGAGCATTCCTGCAATATAAAACATTTTGCAGAGAAATTCAATGCCGTCAGGCGTCAGCATTGTTCTTCTAAATCATCGCATGCATCGAGGCATCGTTCATTAAACGGGCTTAGGTATGCCTTCCTTATGAGTTATGAATATGGCTCCTAAAGGCTAATGCTTTTTTTTCTCTTACACACGCTCCAGAGATTCAGACGATCGTATTCGTGACCGAGGCCATCACGCTCTGGGCGGCAGTTTCC